TTTTTTTTTTTTTTTTTTTTTTTTTGTGGTACCGGAGATTGAACTTGAGTCCTTGCATTTGCAAGGCAGGTGCTGGAACTACTGGGCTAAATCCCTGGTCCACTACACTGAAAATTCTGAGGTAACCAGCAAAGCCAGAGCTTCCAGAGGATAAGAGATCAGGGTAGAGTGTGCTGTGGGAAGGGCACCCATCCTGCGGACCGGCCTACAGCCTGGTGAGTAGGGCTGTCCTTAATTGACTTCATACTGCAGGGCTGCACCTGGTTGAATAAATGAAGAGCCATCGTCACAGGCTTTCAGCTCATTTCTCCATTTGTTCCCAAACCCAGCAGAGCCCCTGGAGAGTGGGGACTCCTGTCGGTCAGCACAGGCCTGCATTCGGCGGGCACCTGGCCAGCTCTGCTTCACGGCTGAGAATGTGCCGCTGGCCCCGCTTCCAGTGGGGCTTAGCCCCGACTGCTCCCACGGCTTCCTCGTGAAATCGGGGAGCTGTTTAAAGCCACGCTGTTGCCTGTCCTCTGCGCCTCTTCTGGGCATGCCGGTATGCGCGAGAGGAAAGCGAGCCGGGTGGGCAGTCCTGGGTGGGCAGCTCCTGGTGTCAACCTTGGGCAAATATCTCACTGCGTTCAGCCTCCATCTGCGAAATGAGGACAATAGCAGCATCTTCTGTGGAAGGTAACTCCGTGGATCCGGGAATTACGTGAGGGAACACAGAAGCGGGAGTAGAAGGGGTGGCAGAGATTAAGGTGGCTTTTGGCCGGGCCACAAATGGGCAATGAAAACAGAGAGGTAGACCTATAGCTGCGAGCCTCAGTTTCCCCCTCCTTTTCTCACTGAGGTGTTTACTGAGAAGACAAACCTGATGTAAGAGGACGTTCCAATCTCAAGCACGCCCAGATTATGTGACCACCCCCACCTGTTTATGTTTCTCTCCGAGGAATCCTGGGAGGAAAACAGCAGACGGTCTTAAGGACAGACTGGAACAGGACTCCCCACCAGTGAGCCTAACCAAGGCTGACCTCTGTCCCCTGCAGGCAAGAGTCTCTGACCTCCCACCCTCCCCAGGCCTGCAGGACTCCAGGTCAGAGGTCATGGCTTCCAGCCTCTCTGCCCTCACTCTCTGGGACCTAGGACTGACACGGGAGGCCTGTGGCTGCTGCCTCTGCTGCTTGGCCCCAAACGGCACTTCTCAAGGTTCGGGCGGCACCGGGATCTATGGCTTCCCTCCCCACTCACTGTCTGCCTAATCTGGTCCCCAGGTCCTGGAGCTGCTGGAGCTGGTGGGGCCCGTCAGCCCCCATCAGTCTGGGATCCAGTCTGGGACGCTGGCTCGCTCTGGGCCCCTGAGGCAGGCTCATCTGCTTTCTGGGGGCCGCTTTGATCTGCACTTTCTTCTCTGAGGCACAGCCCCTGGAGCCTGCTGGACCCCTCCACGCTTCTGGCTCTTGTCAGGGACTCAGCACCTAGGAAGGAGACCTGGACCTGATGCCTGGAGGGAGACTCAGGGTTGGCCTCCGCTGGCTCCCGTTCTGCACATCTGACTCTTGGGTGCTGTGTGGGAGAAATTCAGACCCGACTCTCACCCACTCTGGCCCTCACTTTTCTCAGCAGTGCGGAGAAGCCAATGTGAAGACTCAAAGCCTCCAGGGACAGTCGTCACGGCAGGGTGCTTCCCAGGTTTCTGGGACACTAGGAGAGACTGACAGGAAGTGAGTGCTCTGTGTGCAACCCCGAGCCCTCACACCCTGTACCTAGGGAAGCTGAAACACAGAGGTCCTGCAGTTGTCCACAGCTCCACGGCCAGCAGAGTGGCGGAGATGAGAGCCCCATCCGGGTGTCTCCCTCTCCCTCTGGCCAGCTTAAGGGCCAGGGCTGGGCTTCCTGCGGGACTCCTGCTCACTTGATTTTTAGTTTTTGCAGGACAAGGGCCACTAAGGACTCTCAATCCTAGAAAGGTTGTGCAAGAAGGAAACAGCCCAAATGGGGCTGCTTAGAACTAGAGGCGTCATGGAAATAGGGAGGAAGAAACAGCCTCACAGGCAGGTTCTCAAAGCTTCAATTCCTGTTTTTCTTGCCCACATTGTATTTGAGTAAATGAAAAGGGTGGACATGTCCTGTACCCCTGGCGGGGAGCTTTGCAGGAGGGATTGAGTATAGTTGCAAAAAGAGGGGAGGAGAGAGGGGTGACTGCAGGATGGCCTGCTTGTGTTTGGGAGAAGGTTGTGCTGCACAGGGACAGGAAGGTGCAGGAGACACTGCCCGCTGAGGATCAGTCTCTCCTCATGTTCCAAACCTGAATCTTTCATTTCTGAGGCCCAATGCCTTCATGTTTCCTGTTACTTATTTGCCAAACACTGATCAAGCATCTGGTTAGGCTCGTCAACATTCCGGGCACCAGAGAAAGGGGATGGAGTGACCCCCACACTGGCCCTGGGCTTCGTGACTGTCCTCTGAGAAGCCAGACTAGGGAGTGATGGCACCAGGGCAAGGACAAGACTGTGAGAGGTAAACAGCGGCAGCGGGACACAGAGGAGAGCCCTGTGTCGCGCCGTCCCGGAGCACACGTCCGGGTTGAACTCCAAAGTTAGCACGGCCAAGGCAAGCAGCGGAGAGGGTGTTCAGCCAGCGAGGGACAGACGGGGTGGGGTTGAGGCAGAGTGCTGGGCTGCACCCTACTCGTGCCGGCTAACTTCGGTGCCACTTGGGAGTGCCCCTTGGCATAAGGGGGTGAGCAGCACCGCCCTCAGGCTGTCACCAGGACCGAGCGGCACACAGCATCTGCTCCACACACTGTGGTGAGGGCCGCAGCTCCGAGGCTGGGTCGGAGAACACAGGAGCCTTTGGCGGCCCTATCCCTGCTCAGCACGAGGCACCAGGTCCTTTCCAGGCTCTGTTCTCACTCCTTTCCCTCGTGCTCAGCGTCACTTTCTCCTCTGCCCAGAATGTGAATGTTTAGACTCCCACCCAGTCCAGGCTGTACAGTACCGACTGCACAGCTGTCTGGCAGAGCCTGTCGCCCCCGATGGGTCCAAGCTCCTCCCCCTCGGTGGTTCTCCTCCGGCCCAGCCCACCAGTCTGCTGTCACTTCACATCTGCCGTCCAGGCTCTCACCCGGCTGGCCCAAGTCCTGTAAGACACGGGGCAGCCACTGCTGGCAGAGTACAGCGCACTCTTCGGCTTCTCCTAAGAGCCTCCTTGATACACTGGCCTCTTCACCCACTCAACTGTACCCTCCCAGAACAACTAACAGTGGCTCGCACGGACGCTCAGGTCACTTGGGGGCCTCCCGGAGGAAGATGACTGCCAGGCACCGTCTTCCTCTGAGCATGTTACATGACGCTCAACACGCAGTGACAGTGCCATCGGCCAGGCTGCGAGCTGAGTCCCGTCGTGGTTTGGGCCTACTTGTCCCCCTAAAGCCTCCTGCAGCCAGAGGTGGGTGAATCATAGTGTGATGCTGGGATTAAGGGCGTGTGATTACTGAAGCACCACACCTGAGTGATTGGTTTGGCACCGCCCTAACCCTGGGAGTCTGAATAGAAGCAGAAAAGACGCTGTTTAGGTCTCCGGTTGCCTTTTGCTGACTTGTGCGCGCCATTGTTTTTACTCTTCAGGGCCTGTTTGCCATACCTACCTCGGAGCCAATCACGGTCTGAAAGCTCTCCGAACCGTGTCAAATAAGCCCCTTCCCCTTCGCGCTGGTGGTGGCTATTTTGTCTCCGCACCGAGAGAAAAGTAACACAGGTCCACCTCGAACTCAATAGTGACTGAGACCCCTTAGGGATGAATCTCAGCACAAAGCCCTGGGCTCAGGCCTGGGGGTGGGGACTTCCCTCCTGATTCTTGTCCTCTATTGGGAAACAAAACCAAGCGAACCCAACCTGAACATGTCTCTAGAGATACAACTCATGCACCCCAGTAGTCAGTTTTCTTTGACCGAAACTCTGGGGCTTCTGTGACACGCAAACCGCACAGCCATTATTACCACCCAGGTCCTGAGCACTCGCAGTCCCGGTTGGCAGTCACCCCCCACCCAACACAAACGTGCTTGGTCCCCAGGACCTGCCCGTTCTGGACTTTTCACAGCAACAGAACCACTGTGTGCGGTCTTTTGGGCGCAGCTCTGCCCTCTACTCTTGATGAGCCCTCGTAGCGCAGAGACAGCATCGCCCACGCGCATGCCGGGCTGTCTCTTCCCCAGCAGCAGCGGTGCACTCGCCGCGGAGGCCAACTTCTCACGGTGGGCCGGGGCAGGAAGCAGCAGTGTGGAGGGAGCTGGCGCGGGCCAGGCTCGGGCTGCGGCACAGGGTGAGGTGAACAAAACCAACACTCAGAAAACATTACGTAAAAGTACTTTTTTCTTTTTTATTTAATTTTAATTTCTGAGGTAAAATACTTTTTTCTTTCAACTTCCATAACAAAATACAGAGCTATCAGATACCCCTGGAAAAAAATATGTATATTATACATATATTTCTATAACATTACATCATATATATAATATATACGCAAAATTCTGAAGACTTTATAGAAAGCGGAACATCTAAAAGGCACTGCACAATGGAGTTAAGATTACTTACATTTTATGTACATATACACACTATTCTGCTTAAGCGGGTAACTAGCAATGTCATCTTTCACATGTGACTGTCTCACTCGGAAATCCCTGCATCACAATTTTATAATTCAAAGAATGTCTAAATATTTAAAAACAAATTACTGCTACCCCCCCACAAAAGAAACTAAAAATGGAACAGTTCTTTAAAGACTGAATCAAAGTTTTCTTTCCAACCATAGAAAACTATGTGCCATTACAGTTTGCAAAAGAAAAAGCACAAACATAATTATGGAATAAATAAACAAGGGACAAACAGCTGACTGACTCACACCACTTGCCAAGAAGTGGTATTTTTAATGCTTCTGAAGGTGTCTCAGCCCCGGGCCCCTGGGGTGCAGTCCTTCCCTGTTGCAGCAAGCTGGGTTAACGCGGTACAGTCCGACACCAGGGTGCAGGAGCTCGGTGAACTGTCTGTGTTCTGCTCCTATCCACCCCTTAGGGAAAAAGGGAGCTCAGCAAGGCTCAATGCCAGTAAGAGATCTCTGCTGTTTTCTACAGCTAAAAGAGCAAACTGTTTACACGAACAAGTTCATGGTTAACGAAATTGCAATAGATTTATATTTGTAGTTTTGAACATTTGGCACAGCAAAATTGGGAAAAAGTAGGTCCACTTTTACCCCCTTTCCCGCCTGCTGTCGGACAGTGATGAGATGCTCATGCAAGAGAAAGGCCTGGTTCTGTACCAGGTGACGGGTGCTGCCAGGAGCGGGCTGGGGAAGGAAAACTCTCCTCTGCCCAACAAGGATCCAGGATCTCCATGCAGCCTGGTCCGCTCCTTAGCAGGCCCACCCCAACCCCAACCCCAACCCCAGCCCCAGTGCAAATCAGCCAACATTACTGGTGGAATGGCAATCAGAGGAAACAGTTACACACCAAACAATTTCTTGAAGTCAAAAAACATTTTTCATGGAGTCGAACATTTTTCGAGTGTTTTTTCAAGTGTAAAAGCAGTGACTTTTTGTTCAAACAGAAGCAGCATCTAGGAATTTATTCTGGCACTTGTGTTCTAGGGGTTACAGGTATGCATCACGGATTTCTCTCCTACTTTAAAGGCCTCGTGTTTCTGTTCCTGAGTTCATACCAACACCTGCTGGCCTCCCCTTAGGGGCAGTGGGTGGCCAGCGGCCTCCCTGGTTTGATCAGGCAAGTGAGCCGTTCTCCACCTGCCGGGCTTGCTTTCCTTTCAGAGGTAAGTCAGGTGCAAAAAAGGAAACTGACAGAACCGTAACACAAAGGTAGCCTGACCCGAGCCTGAGTCTGCAAGGACCACTGCTGAAGTTCCTTCCCTGGGGAAGGTGAGCCGCTCATGGAATTTGGATCAAGCAAGGGGAGGATGCCTGCCCAGGCCTCTCACCTTCTCTCATGCAGGAACTCCAGTTAAAACCAAAACCAGCCCACCATTAAAGGATAATCCTGGGACATTACTTTATAGAGTTCTCTTAAGCCAAGGTAGAGGCAGGAACAGCTCTGATCCCTAGACACCGTTCTCACACCTCGCTTGCCCTCAACAGATGTGCAGTTGCTTCTCTCCCTGCTGCCCTGCGAGGCGGAGCTGAGCCCCAGCTGGGTGGCCTCACAGCTGCGTGCGCACACAGAAGAGTGGCTGCTGCCTCTCTCTGCTCCTCGTTCTAGTCTTGCTTCACATAAGATCAGTACTTTCCTACTTGAAGTTGCCGGAAGGGATCTTCCCATGAAGAAACATTTTCTCACTGTTTGTAACCTGGAGTCTCACGCGAGACAGTCAACTGCTCAGGAGACTGGAACAGTATGGCCAAACAGGGATGGCAGAAATGGCACCCCACAGGACACCCCCTTCACGCACGCCAGGCCTCTTGGCACTTGGTGCCCCGGTGTCTTCCTTCAGGCTCCACAAACATGCAATGGATCCCCCAGTACCTTCCATGTTTCCCGGCTCCACCTACCTGTAGCTCCCACCATCCTGCCTTCCTGCTCCCTACCCCAGTAACGTCAAGAGGGAAAGGCTAAGTATCGGCCAGGAGTCTGGCCATGTCTCGGTGCTCCAGGATGATCTGAGCAGCTGTCCATGCCCCGCACAGGTTTTCGCTGACAGACCCGTATCATCTGTGAGTATGTTCGTAGTTAAGGCTCAACTTTAGAAAACGAGGAGACACACGATGGACAGACATCTTCGACAATACCGTCGCGCCTCTGGATGAGCCTGCTCAGCCATGCTTTGGTTTGGCTCCCCAAACCCATAATGGAAAAGGAAAAATGAGGATCATCTTTTTTCATTTGTTTTTAAAGGCATTGGGTTACTTCCTCCTGCCCTCCTTTCTTCCCTGAACAGGAGTTTACAACTCCTCATGGCTTCTTAGTAGGTGAAGTAGGTGAAAAGACCAAGGGATGCACAGCAGGCTTTCTGCCTCAGCCCTGCAGCCTGGGGTGCAGCTCCTGTCTTCATACGGACTCTATAATTAGCAGGATGCTCTTGGGTCCTGACGCATTTTTTTTTTAAAGAAAAGAAAAACACCAAACAACAAAAGAAAGTAAAAAGTAAAAAAAAAGACCAACATCTGAACAGCCCCCTGCTCCAGTAGGACTGACACAATCTTATTCCTCCCCTGAAATAATTAATTATAAAGAAACATTTCAGGCAAAATACTTAGTATTAATGGCCTCTCACTTGCTACTGTCCTAACCACGACCCTTTCCCTTTTATGAATCTCTCTCAGAGCAAAATAAACTCATCAATGGCTTTTTATATATAAATACAAAAAAAAAAAAAAAAAAAAGTCTGGAACCTGAACTACCACAGGAGCAGAGTACCTGGGTCCTCTAGGAGTTTCCCTGTCAGGAAGTGTAAGCCTCAGACAGGAAACAGGTTCCTTCCTTCCCCTCTCAGTTCAATACCCTCTCATCTCCTACTCATCAAAGTGTGTTCACATCCCACTAATTTACAACAGAAGATGCCCATCCCATCCCAACGTAAGTACAAGTCTACGCCCCAGGATGCTCAAACCAGCCTGCCCCCCGCCCCCATCCGCTACGTGAGTACACAGATGTATTTCATCAGAACACAAACAGCCCCCACACACTGTAGTTCTATGCATCAGCAGCTGCCGCCGCCAGGCCCTGGGGTCCCGATCCATTCCAGAGGAACTTGCTGTTCTTACTTGGTGGCTCCCGGGCCTCAGGGTCATCGTTCCAGCGCCGTTTTAACCGGAGCTTCGGAGGCATCACAGCGTCTTCTTTCTTCTCAGGAGCACTGGGCTCTTTGCCAGGCCTGTCCTCATTGTCTTCAGTCACCTCTAGGGGTTCACCTGGGGTGCTAACGGGTACGGAGGGCCAGGCGGGCGGGGCGGTGGGGCGGGCAAAGATGGTGCCTTTCCCCTCTTCCGTGGTCCTGCTCGGCACAGCACCCTCTTCTTGAGAATGCTCCTCCCTCTCTCGGACGGACTGCCTGAGGCTCTCAGGATCCTTCTCAGAGACGGCAGAGGTGGGCTCTACCTTAATTCGTGGTGGCACAGGTGCCACGGTGGGTGCAGGTTCCTCACTGTTCTCTACCCTTTCGCGGTTCTTGCGCCCAATGGGCGGAGGCTGCAGTTTGATAGAAAACTGAGTCGGCTCCTCAGGATGCACTTGGCATTGCAATGGCGGAACCATGAGCCCTGGGTAACGCGGAAAAGTCCGGGGACTCAGATGGTAGTTGAACACCGAACAGGCTTGAGAATGAAGGTAGTGTTTCATTTCCTCCGTGTTGAAGGAGAAGCAGCTGCTGCTGGTGAAGGGGCTCAGGCCTGGCGAAGGGCTATAGGAGAAGACTGTAGGAGTCAGGGAAAGGGCCGGTGAAATGGGGACATTCAGGACACCTCCTCGGCCAGGGATCGGAGAGATAGCAAAGGGACTGTGCGGGTCAGGGTACAGCCCTGGCCTCGTGAAGAGAGGAAGCACTGCATCAGGCTTGCGTTTCTGGTGGCCAAGCCCTCCTCCTCCAACTGCACTCCGCGGGGACACGAGATCGACACCCCGGCGCCAGTCAGCAGTGGAGCCGTCCTCCAGCTCCGAGAGCTCCGCCTTCCTGTCCGGGCCACTGCCGGACTCCTGGACAGACGCAGTCAGGGAGGTGGCTGAAAAGCGGCTTGGCGGCACGTCACTGTTCGGAGAATGGGTGTCCAGAGGTGGGAAGTGGAAGCGGGAGGACGCGGTCGGCACTGGCGGCGCGCTCTGAGGAACCACACCTGTGACGTGGAGAAGAAAGGAGCCGCGTTGGAGGTCTGGGCGCTCGCCACCGCTACGTTACTGACACCAGGCTGAGTGCAACAAACAGCAACGGGGCTGAATCCCTGCTCCTCTTCTGCCCAGTGATGACGCTCAGCAGAATGGCTACCGTACACGCTTGTCTGCAGTGCCTGACTGCCTGTCATACCGTTTACGTGTCTAGCAGTACAAGGCAGCGATCGCCTAGAGTTCACCACTACATTCTCAGCATTTCAGAGCTCCCCAGGTGCTCAGTAAGTATCAGGTGAATGACTGCATACAAAGGCCCTCTCTCCATTCTAAATAGATTCTAATAATACCACCTGTCTCGGCTTCAGCTTTGCGCACAGCCTTCCCTTATTTTCATAACTCTGGCCATATGTATAAAACAAATCTGGAAATAGCACGCAAGTAAAGCAGTGCATTCAACAGCCCAAGACCTTGTAGCTTACAATTCAGACATGAACTAGGTGAGCACTAAAACGGACATTTGTTAAAGTTAGTTTTTATGGTGTCCCTTTATCATTTTGGATATACCTCAGAGATTCAAATGTTTTTCAAACTCTGCAGACCTATACTCCCCTAATAAATTCTATGTAATAATTTCCATCCCTATTCTGCTTTGAAGTACTGAGGCACTAGAAGAAAATCCTGGACCTCCTACTCTCTGTTCCCACAGCAAGAGCTAAAGCTCGAAGCTTTGAACAGAAATTAACATTGTACTAAACGCATCATTTCGAGAGGCTCACAAGCTCTCAGCTCCCCTCAGAGGTCCTAAGTAAGGCCGCAGAGTGGTGTGCCACCCGGGGTCTTGGGACAAGTGGGGTCCTGGGAGGCACCAGCGCATCTACAAAGATGCTGTCAGAAGGGCGTGGTGTTTTGTTTTGTTTAAATAAACACTCTAAGGCACAAATGAGAAGGAAAAAAGGGATCAGAAGAAACTGGAAAAATCAAAGTCAGTGAAAGTATGGTGATTGAGGAAAGAAAAATGGCTCAAGCTACAGTGTAGTTAGGAACTGCTCCCAAGCAGCCGCCACCTTCTGCTCTCAGAGGGCTGGCTAGAACGGGCAAGACGTGGCTATCTAGGTACATGGGGACGACACCACCAGAGACAGCTCCCAAACTGGTGCTCCACAGAAAACTCCTCAGCAAGACTTTTTATTTTTAAGCCCCACGATTTAATCTCAATAGAGAAAAACAGATGGATGGCCCTGCATATGACGTAAGCAGGGCAAAGTCCCTGGCCAAAAGCTCTTCTCCAGAGTACTACAGCGGCTAAAATTCTATCCATTTTACTTCTTTTGTCCCTTGACTTTTTATTAAGACTATATCCAGTTAAAAGCAAAAGATCTCCTTTATACATTGAGAAGGACAGAGCAAATTATAAACTTAAGGTGGAAGGGAAGCTAAAGTGTGGTCTCCTAAGCAATTTAGGAAATTGCTTAAAGTTCTTTTCTTAAAGGAGCAGGTATCTGAATCTTGACACACACTAAGGCGCACTGAATCTCTGAGGAGAGATGACACATCATTTCCAAATGCAGTCACACAGAGCAAAGGAAGGCGAGATGAGGGCGCTGCTCCTTTCCTCTGATTAACTGGAGTCACCCCACTTTCGGATGTTACATCGAGATTTCAAGTCTAAGATTTTGCTTGAAAAATGGTTGCTGCCCCCCAAAAGGTTGCTTCAAAAGGAGACCTGCTCCTTGAATCCACCGTGAGCTCCAAGTGGTAGGGCCGGAAAGGCTGGGTGTGAATCTCAGGGCTGGTACCTCCTATCCTTTTGCTAGTGGAAGTCAGAAAAGAGTTTTCAACCACTCTCTGACAAAAGTGGAAACAACAGGGCTTTTGCCTAGATTCAACCCTGGCCCTTGGTGTGTGCCTCGGGACAAGTTACCTCTTTGTGCCTCAGTTTCCTTATATGTAAAACAGGCAGTAACAATCCTAATGTGATGAAGAATAAACGTTTTTACAAGTGTTTAACACAGCAATCTGGATGTAATCATTAAAATAATTTTTATTATATCATAATTTAACTCAAAAACCAAAATTTACAAAGACATGTATCAACTACAGATCACATATTAGATAATAGTGTTAGGGCAATGTTAAAGTTCCTGGGTGTGGTAATGTTACTGTGGTTGTGGAAAAGAATGTCCTTGTTCCTGAGAGATACAAGCTGAGGTACATAGTAGTGCAGTGCCATGATGTCTGCAACTTAATCTCAAAGATTTAAAAAGTACATATTAATAGAAAGAGATAAAGCAATGTGGCAACAATGTTAACCATTAGTGACATACACACCCACATGGAGGCATGTGGGTGTTCTCTCTCCTCAATCCAGTTTTTCTGTGGGTTTGAAGTTTTCCAAAATAAAAAACAGGGGTAAAAGGCAGGTGTGAGGTGGGAGGCACAGACTAAGAGGTTGTAAATCCATCCTTGAATCAGTCTGCCCAGCCCTCATCCACTGAGAAAGAATTTTTGTATGCAAATATAAGTAAATATTTTATAGAATGTTTTTCATGATAAAAATGATAGTCTATGTAAAGGTACTTTTAGCACTATCCAAATATTAAGTATTTTACCCTAAACTGTTAATATAGTAAGACTATGGGGAAGGAAAAAGAGAATACTCTTTTTCCTTTCTTTTTTGTTGTTGTTGTTGTTTTTTTTTTTTTTTTTTGGTACCAGAGATCGAACTAAGGACCTTGCCCATGCAAGGCAGGGAGGTGGAATCACTGAGCTACATCCCCAGCCCCTGTATCTCCTTTCTTTTAAAAAATAAATAGACTGAAATAATTCCACCATTTCAACACACAATGGAGACAGGATCTAAATCCACACAGCTCTACTTCTTTGAGCATTGACTTCACTTTACATTGTATTAAACCTAGCATAGTATATCTTATCTCTGTAACCTCTAAGTACCTTGAAGCAGAGAACTCTCCCACCATCTTTTGTATCTTTAGGGCTTAACACGTGATCTACTGAGCAAACGAATGAATGAATTAATGAAGAATGGGCCTGGACCACATGATCTACTATATAAGAGATTTCAATAGTTCAAACTCCCAAGAATTATTTCCTGAGAAACTGTTCAACAGATTACTATTCCATCCAACCTGATCAGTCATTGTAGTCCTCATCCTTACTTCTACTTTTATACAGTAATTATCAAGATACATGTTTTACTGGCCTACGATGGGATGGGATGGTCCCCCAAGGTAACCTGCCAAAGCTCTAAGCAAAAGCACATACAGTGACCAGTGGACATTAGGTAAATGTTAGATACCTTGGTCATCGTGAAGTTAACCTTACAACACTTGGCCTATGTGAGTAAAAGCTGTCTATAAACAAATGACCTCAGTTCTTTGGCGCTATCAGCATCTGGGATGTAAGCAACCGAACAGTATGCCTGTAAGAAATGCACTCTTTTGCTTTCCCTGCAACTTTTTGATTACTTATCCGAGGTTATTAAGGATCAGTGTTGGGTCAACAGCTTTCGTGCAGAACAGTTGTGCCTGGCCGTTAGGGTCAGATTTAAGAGAATCTTGACAGAGCCACAGTCTAGACTCTCTTCCTTGGAATAAATACCACAATCACCCCACTCCTAGGGACAGACAGACACTCCAGTTCAGGCTGTCCAAGTGGCTGTTTTTTTTTTTTTAAAAACTTGAAAAACATGGATCAAAGATGGAAGAACAAGAGCAGTGAAGCATCTTTGGATGTGAGCTGGAGGGGTATGAACACCAACACATGCTTCAAAGGTGTGAGAATGTCCACCTACAGTCCAACTCGTGTAGGCACGCATGGAAGGGGCCAGAGAGGGAAACAGAGGACACAGGAGACCAGTGGCTAGAACAGCGCTGATTTCCTAATGCCACTCCCCCAGGCACAAGGAAGGAAAACAGGTTGTAATTAGAGAGATGCATTCCAGTAAGACCTTTTTTTTTAAAAGCATGCCCCAGGGACAGGAGGGAGTGGCTAGTCAAGGAGAGATGGAACTGTAATGATAGCAGAGTTAAGCTGAAACTGCCCTAACTTGTTGTGTGTAGTAATTACATATCTGCAATGGATCTTGGCATTGTACTCAAACCACGCCCCCCTCTAATTTCTCCTTCTTCAGACTTTTGTCTGAAAAGTTCTGTTACCACAGAATCACGATCAGCTTTCTTTGTTTTAATACGGAGGCCACAAAGACACAGCAATGAGGAACTGGTCAGAAGTAATTAAATACAATCTATTTTCTTGAGCAGGGGAATAATTTTAATCTTTAAAAAAATAACCCCACACAGAACAACAAAACTTCTTAAGGACTCCCTTGAGCATCCCGAGAGGGGCAGGCCTAAAGTCTCCGGAGCTGTGAGGGAAAGCTGTAACTCAGGGGGGAGAGGGGAAGCCCTGGTGCAACGTAAAAGGAGTCAAGGCTAAGAAACCCCAGACTCTTGCTGTCTGAGGAGCTGTTGGTACAGATCAAAGGCCTGCTTTTCACTGCAAACATGTGAACCACCTCCCCTTCTGTGATCAAGGATGCTGTGGTTTTCACGATATTCACTCGATAAGGGAGAGCGTGATAGTTTCATAGAAAATCGGAAGTGTTTGTAGAAACAGGTTCTTGTCTATGAAGAGCCACTGGGGCAGGGTGTTAAAACTTGAGTCCCGAAGAGCTTAACAAATAAACACGATGCCAGAACATCAGTCCCAAAGAGGACAGTTTAATAGGAGATTGCAAGTGATATGTAGAAAAGGGAACCAAGTAAATGAACCAAACAGATCTATCTTGGTGTTGCACAGCCTATGATTTTTCTTTATGAGATGAAGAGGAAGACTTGAGGACAAATACAGAGGCAATTCAAGGGATCACATTAATGTTTCTAAATCCTCTGAAACAGGCCATGTTTTGGACCTGCTGAAGTAATATTGCAGACTAACCCTTCCAACTGAGCCCCAGCCCCAGCTCTTTATATCTTCAGACAGGGTGTGGCTGAGATGCACAGGCTGAGTTCCAATTTGTGATCCTCCTGGTTCAGCCTCCCAAATCCAGTTAGAGTTTGGTTTTAAAAATTCTTTTGTTCCCCCTAAGCCCCTTCCCCCTTTTTTTGTGTGCTAGGGATTGATCCCAGGGTCCTGATCATGCTAGGCAAGCATGTTATCACTGAGCTATATCCTCAGCCCATTTAAATTACTTTAAAACTCAAAAACTCCACCCTCAACCAAGGGAGTCTGCAACTCACCACCTGATCGAATGTTGATGAATGGGTAGTTGGGCATCACCAGTTTGCTGAAGTTAAATTTGTAAGTAAATCTTTTCCCTTTTGTCTTATGAAGGATCCTCTTGTTGTAATAGTATCTGTAAAAACAGAAACACATGTCGATTTATCATCCAGTGACTGAGCTTTTGGTATACTTAGGTAATCAGTAAGACTAACAATTCTTGCTTTAAATATTACTTGTAAACATCACTATCTTTTTTTGCAGCCTGGCTGCCAGGTTAGGGCCAGGAGATCTGAGAGCTTACTTTACTCATTCAGTTTTCAACTACGTTTAGTCTTTGGCTACAGTTCTACAAAGACATCTTCATTTTAAGATCCTAAACACCTACCCAATTCTAACCACTTTTCTTCCCTCTACAATTTCAATTCTGTAGTCCACTTCCTTCCTGTCCCACTCTGTCACTAACTGCCTAGTTTCTTTCAGACTTGCCCAGGTAGAGGCAGACAAGTCTCCCAGGAGAACTGATGTGCGAGGCACAAAGGAATGCAGAACTATTTTATAGTGGCTAGTGAGACAATGGCATACCCTGATCTGGAAAACAGCAGCCAAACTGGCCTGCTTCAACTTCAAAGACTCAAAGGGATGTAGGAGGCTCCAGCAAAATACTGCACAGATTTTTATATTCAGGGTCACTAAGAATGAAGAAAGGCAGGGAAATCTGATGAATCTAGAACCTTTAGCCTGGCTTCTGCTAAGTAGACAGGTCATGAAGTCCCTTGTGAATTAAGGGTTATGAAATTTAAAGACTCATGAAGGGAAAAGAGAACCTGAGGAAACTCATGGTGATCATTCTTTAGACATACTGAAGCAAGCCATGGGCTGACACCCAAGCTCACGGATACAGTTCTGGAGTAGCTCCTCAGCACCATTCAGAAAAGCTCTTTCAATGATTGCTTCGTCCTTTTCTAGCTTCTCCCAGGGGACCCCAAATCAGAGAATTGCCAATAAGCTCTCAACAGGAAAGTCTACATGAATCCTTTGGATTATAAATGAGCTCCAAATCCTGTTTCACCAAACTCTCTCGCCTACAACACAGCAGTCAGGTGCCTCTCAGGACCTAGTACCAGCCACACTGGAATTCCCTCCTACATATAACCAAAGAAAAGCCTTTTCTTCTTCTGTGCCTGTGCTACTAGAATTTAACTTTGACTGCCTCTCTGTACCTACATATTATTCACTCAGCAAGTGTAGTCTCTTATCACCTAATACTCTTTTAATCTAACTTTCACCAAACTCTGCAGTTTCTTTCTAATCTGTTAACACCACAGGTTTAGGAATCCTTTCCTCACCTGAGGGCCCGGCTGAGCTTGTCATAATTCATCTGTGGTTTGCATTTCCTGCGGCCCCAGAGACGGGCCACCTCGTCCGGATCCTTGATGACAAACTCCCCGTACTCGCCCTGCTGCCAGGCGATGACATGGCGGAACTCCTCCTTCTGCAGCAGCTCCAGGATGAAGTGCCACAGCTGGATCTGCCGGGAGCCTGGAGAGGACTCTGTTTTGTAGGCCCAGTCAGGAAACTGATACCCTTTAATGTGAAAAGGGCAAGATCAAAGTAGTCAGGAACTAGGTGCATACATACCAGCAGCCTCAACTTCACATTCCATGGCTCAGAGTTGCTAAAGTGCTTTGCAAACATGCCACAAATGCCCTTTTAATCAGCTGGAGCTAACCACAACTGGGGAGAAAAGGATAGGAGTTGAACTATCCTTGTGGCAATCTTATAGAGCTGGGTAGCAATGCCTAGGTGCTCTTACTGCTTACCCTTTCAGGGACATTTTTTTTTTTTTTTTTTTTTTTTTTTTGGTACTGGGGATCGAACTCGGGTCCTTGCGCTTACAAGGCAGGTAGCAGAACCACTGAGCTAAATCCCCAGCCCTGCTTACCCTTTCATACACCACTAAATTTCATACTTTCTCTCTCTCTCATTTTGGGGTGGTGGTTCTGAGTGTCCAACCTGGGCCCTCTCACATGCCAGGCAAGAGCTATACCACTAAGCCATGTTCCCAATCCTTACACTTGCTTTCTATGAGGGTGTGAAAGTTCCAAATGGCACAAACAGGTAAGATAAACTAGTGTTTCACAAAAATACAGCTGAAAACTCTTTGCTCCAAAGGTTGGAGTTATGTCTCTAACAGGGAAGAGTCTCTAAAATGTAGAAAAGGTGTGTTGGCCAGACAACTAAATACACGTCCATAGGAAACAGGCTTACAACTGTCTTAGTGAGACTTGCTTGGTCAGGAGGCTGTCAGTTATGAACAAAGCTAGAATGGAGAGGACAGGAACCAGACAGGGACATTCCAGGCATATCAGAGATGATTAACTTCTGCTCACCTCCACCTCCTTCTGGCTTTTCCACGATGCTACAGCCTGCTTTCATTTTTGCCCTCCTGCTGAGAGATACAAGCCACACAATTACTTTAGGATGCTATTTGCTTATTATTCTCCCAAGGTTTTATGGCATAACGTTTCCCTATCTTTACTTCCTTATTCAGCCCTCTGCCTCTCGAACATGTCACCTCCAAACTGCTAATTCCCAAGTCATCAAATGATGGTCCTCTCAGGTCATCAGTTTCAAAAGCCATAATTATCTCTCACCTGATTTCAAACCACAAAGTGTAAAGACTGTCCTTAATATTTGCTTTCTTCCTCCTGACCAACCCTCAAATGTAAAAAAGGGTACAGTGAAATAAGTCCAAAAAGGCAGCCAAGACAAGTCAAACAGTTTGCTTTCTCTTAGTAGACAGGCCCAGATGCCAAGATACACAGCCTGAGTTCATCCAGATGTACCAGTTTAAAGAAGGGAGAAACAAATCCATCTGATTCCCACTACAGATTAGACATGTGATTTATTTTACTGAATTCGTGAATTGGGGGAAGAAAAACTCCTAATCAGAAACTGTCTCCCCCATACAATGAGATACAAGAAGTAAACACACCATATTCTACTAAGACACACAAAAATTAAAAAAAACAAAAAAACAAAAAAAACAAAAACAAACTTTACATGTTATTCCTTTAATGGGATGAGGGAATCAGGTATGAATCTCTGGGGTCCTTCTGGCCAACGAGTGTTATGATCTGGGTTCCTCAATAAATTTCCTGTTCCCAGAAGCAAGCAGCTTTGTGTCAGTCAGTCCTTCAGCAAAGGCAGGTGTGTGTAGGGTGGTTGGGTGGGTGGGAGGGTGAGGGTGTGAGGGTGTGTGTGTGTGTGTGTGTGTGTGTGTGCGTGTGACTGCCAGAAGTCATGGGGGTAGGAGTGCAGATCTACCATGGTTCCCCGGGGTAGAAGACAGGCCCTCAGCACCCACATCAGCAAGAGGCTGGAGGGAAGGTCGGTACCTCAGTGGCCCCAGGGTAGGGAGGGGACAAATTCCTAATCTTGGAAATTTCATCTAACCTAGGATTCCTCCAGAGTCTTTGAATTTTCTTTCTCACTGTACACATTCAGGAGACCAGTAAGTTTCAGTCTATAAAAACCACCACAAGCTGAGGCGATAAGTAGCTCAAAGGAAGGTGAAAACAAACAGATACAGATACACACACACACACACACACACACACACACACGACATACAACAACTGGGCACCAGGGCTGAGGCAGGAGCTTCCTGTCATTTCTGTGACAATAAGAGAGGAAAACCACTCATTTCCCCACAGCTACAGGAAGCAGTCCAGGACTCGAACTCCTGGTTTGCTCTGCCCGGTGGCGGGCCCTCTCCCCAGGAATACCTTCAACCCGCGGCAGCGGCGACCTGACCTGGAAGCCCTCTGTAGACACCCCGGCGCCCCCAGAGCCCCGGCTCCAAATGCCCGGCGGGGATCCCAC